ATCTGGACAATTTTTAGCAGTCTCATCAGCTTTCACCTTGGTCGCCAGTACCATGAAAGCCTCAAACTACTGCCAAAGCCTCTTAACTTACCTATTTCCAGATTATTTGCTAAGAGGCCTGCATAGTACCTAATCTGATAGTTTAAAAAATCTGATGATGTCAACTACTTGATTTCGATCTTTTAAACACACTGAAAATAAACCCTGAGTTCCTTACCACAGCCTCTGAGGACAAGGAGGTCTTCCTCCCTGCCCTCACTTCCTACCACCCTTCCTTCTCCTGACGCCATGCCAGCTGCCTGACACTTGCCTATGTCAAGTGTGGCCATATCAATGCCTGGAATGCCCCTCTCTCCACCTCAGTAGTATTCACATGCCTTAATTTACTTCGTTCAGATCTCTGGAAAAAATCAGGGACTCAGAGAGGCCTCCCTAGTTTAGCCCATCTTTGCTACTCTGTTTTCCAATCCTGCTTTAGTTTTCTTCAGAGCATACATCACTACATGGCATTGTATCCTATTCTGAGCATGTATTTTCTGTCTCAACCACCTGGAACTAAGAGGAGGACATTATTTTGCTCATTGAATTATTCCCAGAGTCTAGGATAGTGTCCAGTATATTATAGGTGCTCATTAAATATTTGTCGTCTCCGTCAGTGAACATGCCCTGTACATAACCAATTAGGGAAACAATTTGTTGCAGTCAGAGAAAAAAGCTAAAGAAAAAAGAATGCAAAGACTGGAATCTCCAGTTTGCTAAGAAAACAAAAAAAAATTTTAAAAAGCAAGGCAACAAGGACTTTGTTAAGGGGATACACCTTCAATCTAAGTAAACAGGAGGATATCATGACAGGAGCCTACTCAAGGCGATGCCATCCAACCTACCTCTCTCTGAATCGCTTCATCTTTCTTTATGTCCCCTGCACCCCCTCTGCTTTGTGCTCTGTGCTTTCTTATTGTTGCTAAGTTATAATCATACTCTAAGAGTGTGTGTGTGTGTGTGTGTACACACTGTTTTTTGCTGTCTTCTCAGTCTATTTCTATATCTAATTGTCAATATCTTTAAATATTCTTAAGGAATGTTTTTATAATCTTTCCCTCTTATTTTTAAGTAGGTAGGTGAACTGCTTTAGATTTCTCCCTCTCAAAGAAAATGCGCTTATATATATTCTGTAACTGACATTTCTTTCCCACGTGGTTAGTCAATGCACTTTCATAGGAAAACGTTCTTCTCTTATGGCCTGGTATTCTCTTTTGCTCCATATTCGGGGTCAGGAAATCTGGTGTATGTCACTCGGACAAGTAATAGGGCATAAAATAAAGGTGGCATTCCACATTTTATTTCCTGGAACATGTGGTTTTGTGGTTCAGTTAACATCTCAGGTTAAGTAAAATACTGTTATTTTTGTTAAATATATTACTTATATATTTATAAATAAAACACATATAACATTTCTTGAGACCAGTACTGATTCTGGAGACTATGTTATATAATTGAGAATCTAACTGACTTTCAATATCAGGAAGCTATTCTAATTTACTTTTTTTTTCAATCTTAGACTATTTTTGTTTGTTTTAAAATTATTTTTCAATTATAGTTGACATACAATATTATATTAGTTCCAGGTGTACAACATAGTGATTAAAGATTTATATACCTTATGAAGTGATCACGCATCTAATGCCGTACATAGTCATCACAATATTCCCTATGCTGTACTTTATATCCCATGACTATTTTTACAAGCAATTTGTACTTGTTGATCCCTTTCACCTTTTTAACTCTAATTTACATTTTATTTGGAGAAAATACAACACTTTTAGAGAAAGGTAAAAAAAGACATTACCAAAAAAAAGCTAAGCTGTGCCTTACCTGAAGCTAATGTGTGAGAATTATAGAGTCCAATAGACGGCAGACGTACAAATTTGGGTTTCTCTCCGGGAATGTGCAGCCAGCCTCTGTCTCCTTGTTCTCTCATTTCAGCAGCCGAAAGTGCACAGCAAAACCAACACAACGGTGTTTGCATTCAAGTTTCTTAGAAGGCTTTCAAAAGGGGGTGAATATTGGAAAGTAATACCAAGTATAGCAATTATTTGAAGCATACACAATGGGCATATTGCTTAAACAGCTTGAAAAAGTGGTTGGTTACATGCAGTTGTAAAGGGCACTGGGGTCTTTCCTGATTTGGGAAAGACCAATTACACCCCTGCCTCTAAAGGAGAGTGTGCAGCAAACACATCCTGAGCCGTGGCTGTTCTGTCCCCGGCAGCCCATCTTGGAGGGGTGGTGACCCAGAGCACTCTGTGTGAGCAACAAGCCTTACGCTGAACTCCAGGCCCCATAGGCTTTTTAATAAATGTGTCAAGGCTTGTTTCTGACCCTCCTGGATTACCCAGCTTTCCCAGTGGCCTCAAGTAGAAATAACAATCAGAAAATTTGGCCTGATCTCAGAGAGTGTTTCTTTAACTGAGGTCTAAATTGGTCCAACCTCCAGGGGAAAAGGCAGAGATGCTGAGGCCTGGGTCTAAGCTGAAGAATAAGCTGGCCTTAAGCCTTGGAGCAGAATATAAACTATACAAATATAGAGAAATGAATTAAAAAAGAATATGAACTATAAGCAGAAGTATCGGTACATATTTATAGTAATATATAAATTTCCCACAGAAGAGATGATACTGGATTTAGAAATGAAACGTAAAAGCAAAGGGTTCTACGAAGCCAAAAAATAGGATAGAAGTTATTGCAGAGAATTTACAAAACAATTTAAAGGCTCACTCCATCTATTTGCTTCTTTCCGTGATGCTAAGCATGTACCAGCCCCAGGTGTGCTGCGGTAATGTTGGGAATTTGCATTAAATGACGGTTCCATGAGTACTTGACTGTCCACTGTTGCCTCGCTTGTTTTGTACATTTGTTCTTTTAATCTCATTTCAGCCAGAGAAAAGCAAACCAAACATTTAAATCAGCATTTTGCCACAACTAATAGTGTGACTTCAGAATGTATAAACGGAGGGAACGATCTCATCCTGTTTGATTCTGCAGAGAGCAGGCACACAGGCCTTCGTTGTTCTGGGTCCCGCAGTTTAAGCAGCACAGGGGCCAGCTGCAGGGCGTTTGGAGGAGTGCAGCTCAGAGGAACTGGGACATTTAAATTGCTGAACAAAAAACTCTGCGGGAACAAAGGAAGGGCAACCATTTAAGAGCAACACAATTTGTCCCATTTAACCCCCAAAGTTTGGAATTAAAAGGAATAGTTAGAAGTTATAGGGAAACACATTGTAATTCAATACGGAGAGTAACTGTCTTACAGAGAAACCTATCCAGGGATGGACCAGGCTGCTTCAGAAGACTGCTTTATAGCATGACTTTGTCAGAGACAGGCTGGGACAGTGGGAGAGGGGATGTAAGCACCAGAAGCAAATTTCTTTCAACCCTGAAATTCCATGATATGCATCTAAGATGAGTCAAGAAGAGATGAAAACTATCCAGGTATCTTCAATGAAATAAAAAAGCATAATGGGAAATGTGAAGGTTAATGAGAACTTGGGGTTTCCATCGACACTGACAAAAATGAATCGTATTTTCCAAGGGTCATTAGTTGACAGCAGACAAAAGTGAGGACAGGGAGGAAGGAATTCTGGGTTGTGGCTTGGTCAGCAAAGTTCCAGAGTTATGCCATGGGACACAAATAGTCTGACTCTATTAATTGAAGAAATTGGTATTTTTTCCTGGGGGAAAAAAAAGTGTGAAACGCTTTCACTCATTGAGCCAAAATTTGAGTGGCTCCTTAGTTTGACCTAAGACTGTGAGGGTTGTTTGTGTAGGAGATTTTGGGAAATTTCCCAGCTGAGCGAGGAAAAAAGCTATGACCACGAGGTGGCAGTAGCACACATAAGTTTTATTTGGTGATTGACAGATTTGCATGCAGGGGAAGGTGTTTGCCACATGTTTGCCCTTTCAACTTTGTAGCAAGGTAAGTTGTCATTGGTCAGAGATCACTGAAAGTCAGAGTGCAGAGCTGGACTACTGGATTGGGACTCAGAGGCGCTGGGGCCACATTAAAACTTTATGATATAACAGCTGTACCAGGGTCGCAAATAGTTTAACCTTTATGTGCTCAGGTTCCCCACCAGTGATATAGGATCTCCCCCAGGTAATGCTGTTATTGTGAGAGCCTAATGAGTTAAGAAAGCTCTTTGAATTTTTGAATCTTTGGTGTATTGCAAAGATGGTTTCAATTTAGCTTAAACACAAATACCTCATTGATTCTTGCCTCATTCCACTGAAATAAAGTACTTTTTTTTTTTTTTTTACAAATACATTAGGCAGAATCAATATTATGGAAAATGCAGTTGTGATTCTAGAAAACATTTTTATGTATTCTTTTTCAGGGGATGCCTTGTGTTGAGAGGACCAGCGGGTATCAGAACTGTTTATTTAATGAATATCTTGTTTCCAAGTGCTTTCTAATATGTTATCCCATTGGGACTTGGTTTCTTTTTTTTTTTTTTTAAAATATGTCTATTGATTTCAGAGAGAGGAAGGGAGAGGGAGAGAGATAGAAGCATAAGTGATGAGAGAGTCATCATTGACCGGCTGCCTCCTGCACACCCTTCACTGGGGATTGAANATATGTCTATTGATTTCAGAGAGAGGAAGGGAGAGGGAGAGAGATAGAAGCATAAGTGATGAGAGAGTCATCATTGACCGGCTGCCTCCTGCACACCCCTCACTGGGGATTGAACCCACAACCCAGGCACGTGCCCTGACCAGGAATAGAAACGGAGTCTTCTGGATCCTAGGTTGATGCTCAACTGCTGAGCCACGCTGGGCCGGGCAGGATTTGGTTTCTGCGTGTGTCATTTTTAGTGTGGAAAGTGGGCCTGAACTGAGCATTGCCTGTGAGCACTGCCTTTCTTAGCCTGCCCCCCAGTGAGGTGACGGCATCCAGGCCTCTGCTGGCAGTTATTCTGGCTTGGCTGAAGCTCTCTTTCATAGTCCTAATCCTCTCTCTCTTGCCCAGCTTTCCTTAGCCTTTTCCGCAGTTGTTCACAGAAGGCATCCCACTCAATCCCCGCTTGGGACAAATCAAAGTAGTCTTCCTTCTGCAGCCACCGGCTAAGGCGGTGGTAGCTGTGCAGCTGCCTCCGATCAATAGGTTCCAGAAATAAGAGCAGAAGGCAAGCAGTCCCAGGCTTGGCCACCAAGTTGTGGGTGGCAATCCTTAACTCCAGATTGCACCAGGGACTTCCCAGGGCCTGGCAGCTGAGCACACAGAGGGTGGCTCTGCTGCTTTCCATGCTGGTGGCTGTAGCATTTATCCTGTCCTGTCCAACCCCAAAGTCCCTCTCAGGCAGGCACAGCCTCAGACCCCCACCGTCTGGAAGAGGCTTCTCCAGGGCAGGAACCAGTTCTTGGAGCACCCAGGCTTGGTCTTGCTCACAGTAGGATACAAAGACATCATAGTGGAATTGATTTCTGGGGTGCTGCCCACCCCATTTCCACCACCAAGCGTGACACAGGGTCCGGAGGTGGAGAAGCCAGGGCCATTTAGGACAGCTAAGCAGTGCAAGGAAGGTCAGCAGGAGCACCAGAGTGAAGCTGGTTAGGAAGGCCTGGAACTCAGGATCGTGTGAGCAGTGGTCAGAAAGGAAGGAGAGCAGTGGCGTCTTGGAGCGATCAGAGGCATTGGCCTTGCAGATGGATTTCTCCAGCCCATACACGAAGGTGTTTGGGGCCCGTGTTGCCCAAGGCCCCACCCAAGAGCTTTCACACTGGCAGGTGAAGGTGATATCTGAGAAATAAACATATTGAGGCATCTGGGGGATTAGTTCCTGGAGGCTGCTGTCCAGCCCCAGGGCCCATTCAGAATTGAGCAGCAGCAACCGAAGGAGGCCCAAGCCCCTGAAGCTGGAGACGGAGAGGTTCCTGAAGTTCAGATTGCTCAATGCCAGTACCTGTAACTGAGGCAGCTCCTTCAGTAGCATCTCCAGCTTCACTGATACTGGATTATAGAGGAAATCCAAATCCCCCAGCTCCAGCACTCGCAGCCTGGGCATCCCCAAAAGATGCAGATTTTCTGCACCATTATGATCAGACCAGAAGTGCAAGTGCTCCAGGAGAGGAAGCTGTGGGAAGACTCTCTGATGAGAGAAAATGTAGGGGCTGCAGCCTCGCAGAGTAAGGTGACGCAGGGAAGGGAAAAGGAGTGTGGCGTTGTCCGGATTCAGCAACACATAGGTAGCTTGCAAGGTAAGGTTCTCCAAGAATAAGAAGGGCTCTCCACTGAGGACCCTAAATGTTATTAAAGTCTCTGCCTGTAACTCCAAGCTGAGCAGTGATGAAGGCCAGGGAGGATAGATTTCCAGCATCTTAGAAGAACCCAGCTGCAGATGGCTCAGCTTCTGGGGCCCCTGGAGCTGTCTGCCTGAGATATGCTCTAAATGGGTGCCCAGGAGGTTCAGTGAAGTAAGGTCAGGAAGAGAGGAGAGCCAGCCTGGCATCAGCATCTTAATTTGGTTCCAACTCAGGTCTAGGGTCTTCAGCCACCTCAGTCCTTCCAGGCTCTCACTGGATAAGTTGGAGATGTTGTTACCACTCAGCCAGAGCTCCTGGAGCTGAGGTAGAGAGGAAAAGGCCCTGCAGGGCAGAGTGCAGAGCTCATTGTGGGACAGATCTAGCACTCTCAGATTTGAACTGACTAGCCCTTCCGGGAGCACCAAGGTCGGGCCCAACTTATTCATTGACAGATTGAGCCTCTGAAGCTGGGGCAGGGCACTCAGGAAACTGGGGGGAAGTAACTGAAGGCCATTGGCATGAAGGCTGAGGTGTTCCAGGGAGCGGCAACTTAGAAGATCCCCATCCTCTAGGTTTCGGATTTGGTTCCTTCCAAGGTCAAGTGTACGAAGTGCAAAGTAAGCTGTCACATTCCCAGGCAGTTTTTCTGCACCTGTCCCTACAAGGTAGAGGGAGTCCAAGTGGAGAAGCCCTGAGCCCCGGAGGTCTAATGCACTTAGTGCGGTGCCATCCAATCTCAGGGAATGGAGCTGGAGGCCATGCAGAGCTCGGCCACCCACCTTGTTCAGCTGCAGATTGGCAGACAGATCCAGCACCTCCAGGAAGGGGGACCATGGGCTGGGGCTGGCTGTGGGAGAGGAGCCAGAGACAAGGTTTGGGAAGAGCCTTTGCAATTCCTGCAGCTCTGTCAGACAACTGTCTCTCAGGGTTAGACGACTAAGGTTGATGGGCAACTGGACATTCTGGCTATAATTCATGCAGTAGCCTTGGAAGGAAAGGGTGTTGAGGAATCTGAGAGGCTCCAGGGCATCTGGAGAGAGAAACAAACTCAGGCAACAGGGAGCATGCTCAAAGGAAAGGTGCTGCAGCTGGTCCAATCCTTGAAATGCTCCAGATGTAATCCTGACGGCACCCAGCCGCAGCCTCAGAAGCTGTAGTGTGGGTAAGTGTCCAAAGGCATCAGCTGGCAGGATGGGAACTGTTCCCTGGAGGCACAGTGCCTCTGTATCCCGGGGCACTGCTCTTAGGGTCTGAGCCAGGTCTTTAACATTGGAGCATGATGCAAAAAGGTGCAGTCCTGGGGCCAAGGGACAGAATGGGATGTAGTAGGAGATGTTAGGCAATAGGGAGCTGTCTCCTATGGTGCAATTGGGAGCAGTCCATGCCCGGCTCATCAAGACAAGGCTCCTCAAGGCCAGCAGTAAGAGAGGGAGGACAGTGAAGGAGAACAGAGGTCTTTCCATCCTTAGTCTTGCTTCTAGGGAAAGAGGGGAAAGAAGAGGAGTGTCAGATCCTACAAAAGCCAACAATTCCAGGCCTGGGCCTTCTGATACTCACAACACAATATGTATGGGACATTTCTGTGATTACAATATAAAGGAGACATTTGGCCAAGCTGGGGACTCAAGTTGTGAGCACTCAAATGTGCCTCCCCACAGAGAGAAAGCCCGTGAAGACAGAAACAGAGACAGAGCAGCAAGCAGAGCCTGTGGCATGTGAGAGATCTCAGCAGAGAAATTGGTGACACTTCCCAATTTGCCTGCTGGGGATGATCAGCTCAGGTTTCTAATTTCTTTGGAGGGGTGCTGTGAGCTATGCCTGGGCTCCTTCCAAGACCAGGCAGCAAATTTACTTATCACAAAGTAGACTGGAGGGGAAACAAATGGTAAGGATACAAACATGATAAGACCTGAACATACACTCTTATTTGATCCTTAATCGTGTGGTATACGTGGGCCAAATATATCCTTATTTTACTCATGAGGCAATTGAATGTGAAAGAAGTTAAGTGACTTGCCTGAGGTCACAGAAGTGCAAGTGGCAGAGCTGTGACTACAGTCCAGGTATTCTGCCTCCAAGTTGGATGGTCTTTGCAAGCAAAATTCCTCAGGTAGGCTTAAAGAAACATGCTAAGTGAATTCTACTGTTCAGTTTATGTTGAGTTAAGGAGGAGAGACTCAAAAGTTAGTTCAAGTAAGATATAAAGTAGAGAAAGTGAGTGGGAGAATGAAGTAGAAAAAAAAAAAAGCAGTAAAAGGTAAAAACAAAGCTGTGATACTTTGTGTTCAGAACATAGTGCAGAGGGAGGAGGTCCCATTGACCCTTTCTCACTGCCGACATATTCCTTTCCAGTAGTAAGGCCTCCAGTTCCCCAGCATGAAATGAGCAGTAATCATATATCCACAGTCTAGGTCCCTGAAAATATAGAAAGAGGCAGGAGAGCACACTGGTCCATGGTGAAGGGCGCTGTCCTCCTGGCAGGGTTTGGGATGATTCAGTAATTCATGCCTTTGGACAGAGGAGGAGTTGGACACATCCCCTTGAGTTTGCCATGAGGATAACCTGCCTGGGTGATCCCATAAAGCTGCCTTTCTTCAAGTCCTCTTACTTCAGCTACTGGAGCATCATAGCTGCATGTGCCTCAGACTTCAATGAAAAGTTCAGAGGAGGCCCCAAGGGTCTAGGGAATTCATCATCTGGGTGACTCCACCTTGCAAAACTATCAGTCTCATTATGGATGTCACTCAATACACCACAATGCTGCATCGTTCTATTTCAATGGCTACTCTGGAATTTTCCAGGCTGTTTCTTGAGCCCACACTGCAGTCCCTGACTTGTCTAATAGCACGCTCTGTTACTCTTGGACTAGCCTCTCTATCTTAGTATCTAGGGACGTTTTAGGGTCGGGAATAGATCTCAGCCTAAGGAGACACAATGGCCTTGGGGCAGACATCCTAGGGATGCAGAACCATCCTGGGCTGTGGAGTGGGCCTTTGTCCGTAGGAAATCAGCTTTGATGGAACTACTCGAGGCATCACTTAGATTGTCCACAATGATAGTTCCTCGTTTGGCCGGTTTGGTTGTGACAAACTTTAACCCAAATGTTCCCCTAAAGTTCTGTGTAGCTCCTGCCTAGCTTGAGGCCTCCAGGCTCCCCTGAAAAGGATTTCTAAGTACGGATTCTCTAAGTAGAGATTCCCCACTTTTGCTTTCTTCCTTGCTGATGTCACTACTTGCTTTCCCACCTTGTCCACAAAGCTTACCTGGCACGGGCCCAGCAGTGTGTTTACCCCTGAGCAGAGGAAATGGAGGGCAGTCGCCACAGGTTGAGATTTCTCAGGAAGGATTCTGTCTCATCTTCTCCTTCAGGAAAGGCGTAAAAGCCGTTTCCTCTGTGATTCTGTCTTCCCCAGTGGCTGTGCCCTCTCTCACACGTGGGTGTGACACCCCTGCGAACTTGAAGGTGGGCCCAGCCAGGGCAAAGAGGAGAGAGCTTTGTTAAGCTCTTAACTTCTCCCCAAAACAGCACTGTTTTCCCTCCCTCTCTCTCTCTCCTCTCAACAACTTTTTCTATTTTATGATTTCCTCTTTTTCAGCCTGGTTAGGGATTTCAGTTCTCACTATTGTTATCATATCCTCTTAACACCTGAAAGAACAAATTCCTTCTCCATTTCCCAGGAGCATTTTCTTTCTATCTTGTAACAAGAGTGACCCACTATTCCATCACTTTTACCTCTGTCCTCTCAGTGCTTTCAATAGTCTTAAAATTAAGCTCCTTTGCAGAGGGAAGGTTGAAGAGGTACTTGTCATCTTACCAGAGGGACCTGGACCTTCAGACTGAGGTCAGGAGTGCAGGAGAGAAGAAATAAGGAACAGAAAGGTTGATTTCTATCTAAATGGTTGGGTTTTGTTTTCCAGAGGATGTGAGCCATTGAGAAATTTCTGGAAGTCATGAGATCAGAGCCAGGACTGGGTTTAGTAATTTAGTATGCCCCCAAAAGAGAAGGGTCCCCCACATTCCAATTCCTATCGTGCTTGACTTGACTGAAACTCTTTTTGGATATGTAGATTTTTTTTGCCTTTGTTTTTGGAGTAACAATCACATAAGCTTGATTATGGCAACATTAAAATATTTCTCTTATCACTTGTCCCAAGCATTCACTTTTTTTTTTTTTTTAAATATCTTTATTGCTTTCAGAGAGAGGAGAGGGAGAGAGAGAGATGGAAACACCAATGATGAGAGAGTCATTGATCTAGCCCACAACCCTGGCATGTGCCCTGACCAGGAACCGAACCGCGATCGCCTGGATCCCAGGTCGATGCTCATCGGCTGAGCCACACCCGGCTGGGCAGCATTTGCTTTTTAAAAGTGTCACATGAGTTGCTTTTGTTTGTTGAGGATTGGAGAAACAAACTGATGTTTATTTTTTCATACATTCATGAGTTTTGACTGAAATCTTAGGCTCTCTAGGGCCTCACTGTATTGTCCTTATTAACATTTCTGTCTTTCAAAACTTTTCTGTCTACCAAATCTGTCTCTCTTTTGGTTTATTTGGATATGAAGATTTGTTTCAATATCAACATCCTAAAGAGGTAGCACTGAGAAAAGAGGCTCTTTCTAAAATGTCATCATTATATTTATTTCCTTATTTTATAGCTAATACATGTGTGTCATAGTATGTTAGCTGCATACTTACTCTCTGTTTTATTATTTTCTGACTAATACAACCTCAGTTCTATTCTGGTAACAACGTGCCCAGCTTGAAAAATGAAGTGGCACAGCCTCCGGTGCATGGAGGGGCCATGTGACATACTTCTGTTCCATCGAAAGCTTTTGCTGTCAGAAGCTTCAGTTGCCATCTTCAGATAATAAGGTGATTTTGAGAATGACAATATGTACTAAGAATGGTTTATCAAAAGGCCAGGAGAACCTGAGTCCCTGATGGCATCTTAGAACTGCTTATCTCTGGATTGCCTGTCTCTACGAGTTTACGTGGGAGAAAAACACTAAGTATTTTTCATTAGTTGCTGTTACTTGGGTTTCTATGATAGGGAGCTACATCTAAGTCCACCGTCTAATGCATATGACATTTCTGGGTTCCTGGATAGATCTTGAGTTTCCTTTTTGTTTTCATCACTCAAGTGGGTAAAATGTGGATTAACTGAATTATTTAATACAAAATACTATTCATTCTTTCAAGTCTGGATTCTTTTCTCCTTTTACAGTAGAGGGATGATCATTTTTTTAAAAAGTGGCTCTGTTTTTAAGGTGATTTAGAGTATATCTCTTGATAGATAAATGGCTTACATTCTTTAAAAGAGATGCACATTTGAAATAGGTCATTAAAAAGAAACAAAAGTAAATAAAAGATAGGTGTTCAAAGCATAATAATTCAAACTCTCTTTTAGTGAAAATTTGTTCTTGTACTAGTGGCAAGCTGGGGGCTAGGGGGAGAGATGGAAACATCTAGATAGAAGGTCCCTGGGGAAACTTTTCCTGTTCGTAAGGATTCATTAGAGATTCATTTTATCTCATGATATGTCTCCTTATTTCCTCTCTTTTTCTGTCCCGAGCATCTAGAACAAAACCTGTAAAGCCAGAGTTTGCTGCCAAGAACCGCTCTTTCCTTTAGAGAAAGAGCTGATCCTGAGTGAAATAAAAGCAGTAGGGAGCCAAGTTTACTCCTTTCCACAAAGTGACCACCATGGAAAAGTCTTTTGAGAAGCTATGGAAAGGTGTGTGCTATAAAGCTTACCAAAGACAGTAGCATTATTTTTTCCTAATGCATAAAGTAGAGGGAAAGCTTAGGTAAGTAATATGTCTAAAAGTATTGCTCTAAATGATATATCCTTTCTAAACATTAAGTGATTTTTTTGTTTTGTTAATCTTCACCCAAAGGTATTTTTTTCCATTGATTTTAGAGAGAGTGGGAAGGAGGGAGGGAAGGGGAGAGGGGGTAGAGAAACATGGATGTGAGAGAGACCCATCAATTGGTTGCCTCCAGAACACACCCCGACTAGGGCAGGGATTGAACCTGTAACCCAGGTACCTACGCTTGACTAGGAATTGAACCAGAGACCCTTCTGAGTATGGTCTGATGCTCTAACCACTGAGCAACACTGGTCAGAGCTAAACATTAAGTTTTAAACTCCCCATCCTTTGTGCAATAGATGAAGTATACATGTTTATCATGAAAAAGTGATAAAAACGGAAAAAAGAATCTAAATTACTCATAATACCATCACTCAATATTTAAGTAAGCTTATATGATAATAGTGTTTTATGATATGCCTTTTTCACTCAGTGACATATTTTACCTATTAAATATTTTTCATATAAACCTTCATGTAATTTGTGCAGTTATTGTCTTAAAAAACCCAAAAGTGTATCTGTTACCTGCATTTCTCTTCTATAATATTCGTGTCTGAGATTAATTCAGCTTTTTGGCTTGCCTTGCCATGT